GGAGTGGGTTTTCTCCAGTTACTCCAGTTTTCTCTCACAGACCAAAATCATATTTATTATATGACACAAAAGCAAATAACTTAATAATTTGGGATAACACTACAGTGGATGTAGTTTGTAATTGTGCTTGTTTTAGTCTTTATTTCCAGTTTTGGGGTTTTATAATCACAGTTTTTCTTCACAAAAGTAAACATCAACAAACAAATAAAAATTTTAACATATAGAAGAGGTGATGCCTTTAAATTTTAAAAATCTTGTTCCTTGTAAATGTCTTTAGAATATTTATTTTGACTTTTTTAAATAAAATGACAATCATTTTTGAAGAGAACTGTCCCCCCCCGAAAAAAATTTTCTGCAGGCGCCACTGGTTGGACAAAGTTACCAGATGTGAGCAGAAGTTGTTTAAAGTGTCATTGTGTGACAGTGCCTAAAAGCAGAACTGTAGTGTAATTATAGGCTGAACTGTATTGTGAACAGGGATAAGTTATTTTGTGATTAATGGTTAAATCGTGATTCAAATTATTTTTTAAGGGGAGATCTTCTGGGTTTTTAACTGGTACTGTTTTATTCAGGACTTTGAAGATATCCTGACCCAGATGAGTTTGGAAGGTCCAGCAGACGCACAGCTAAAACCTGCAGACAGGTCCTGTCAGGAGGCTCCTGAGGTGGGCTCTCTGTCTCAGTCTGCTGTAAACACACTGGTCCAGGTTCATCAGCGCATGTGCCTGGGCTATGCCAGGTCTCTGTGGTACCAGAGCACAGCTCCAGCCAATCAAACTCAAGAACACATCCAGGCCCTGGTTTCTTCTTATAGGATTTCATCTCCTGTCATCTCATCCTTCTATCACCTGATTGGTCAGTACCTTTGATTGTATTATTTAGATGTAAAACAATGAAGGTTTTAATGAAACATCTGTTTCCTGTGTAGATTGTGAGTTGGACCAGCAGCTGGCAGGCAGCGGTCTGTTGCTTTCTGCTGTTCTGCAGAACATTGTGCAGGGGTCGAGGGGTCCCGATGAGCTGGTGATGACCTCTGAAGGACCGTATGACTTCTATCAGCAGCCCAACATGAGCGAGGCTCGTCTCAGTCTGCCTGTGTTGGAACAGCTGATGGAGGCGGTGAAGCAGAGACTGGAGGACTGGCCTGAACACCCTGCTCTCATGCAGGTCAGTGCACCTCCTCTCAACCAGCTCTAAGGGGTGTTGGTGCTTCGTTTTAGTGTTTGTCTGTCAGATTTCCAATGTTTTATCAGAACCTTTGTTTGTCATTTAAAATATTATTATTATTACTATAAGCTTGTACTATTTATGTATTGTATTGTAGGTACAAATGGACATTTCTGTGGTTAAGATGTGTCGATAGTAAAATTATGTGTCAACTCATTTTTGTAATCAACATGATTTAGTTAGAGTTAAATAACTTGTTGTCAGCTGAAACACCATGTAGTAATTATCCAATGGGAGGCTCCTGCCTATTTGCTCAGGTAAATCCAGGTCCAGACCCAGTTTGGTCCAGCATCTTTGGGATTTGATGATCCAACAAGTACAATCGATACAGACCTGAGCTCATCCCACATTTAAAGGATCTGTTCCTGACAGCTCAGTGGTACAGTCCACAGCAGACCGCTGGAGTTCTGGTGTACGGAGAGCCGTTTTTTGTTTTTGTTTTTTTTCAAAATACAATCAATCAATAAATAAATAAAGTACAATCGATACAGACCTGAGCTCATCCCAC